GCAGAGGATAAGTTCATTAGAGTTACCAGCCTCAGAAATTGCAACCCTAATAAATGCTTCACAGAGTTCAAGTAACAGACACATCTCAACATCAACTGTTCAGAGGAGACTGTGTGAATCAGGCCTTCATGGTCCAATTGCTGCAAAGAAACCACTACTAAAGGACACCAATAAGAAGAAGAGACTTGCTTGGGCCAAGAAACACGAGCAATGGACATTAGACCGGTGGAAATGTTTCCTTAGGTCTGGAGTCCAAATTGGAGGTTTTTGTTCCAACCGCCGTGTCTTTGTGAGACGCGGTGTGGGTGAACAGATTATCTCTGCATGTGTATTTCCCACAGTAAAGCATGGAGGAGGAGGTGTTATGGTGTGGGGGTGCTTTGCTGGTGACACTGTGATTTATTTAGAATTCAAGGCACACTTAACCAGCATGGATACCATAGCATTCTGCAGCGATACGCCATCCCATCTGGTTTGGGCTTAGTGGGACTATCATTTGTTTTTCAACAGGACAATGACCCAACACACCTCCAGGCTGTGTAAGGGCTATTTTACCAAGAAGGAGAGTGATGGAGTGCTGCATCAGATGACCTGGCCTCCACAATCCCCAACCTCAACCAAATTGAGATGATTTGGGATGAGTCGTACCGCAGAGTGAAGGAAAAGCAGCCAACAACTGCTCTGCATATGTGGGAACTCCTTCAAGGCTGTTGGAAAAGTATTCCAGGTGAAGCTGGAAGAGAATGCCAAGATTGTGCAAAGTTGTCATCTAGGCAAAGGGTGGCTATTTGAAGAATCTCAAATATAAAATATATTTTGATTTGTATAACACTTTTTTGGTTACTACATGATTCCATATGTGTTATTTCAAAGTTTTGATGTCTTCACTATTATTCTGGGCTCCCGAGTGGTGCAGCGGTCTAAGGCACTGCATCTCAGTGCTTGAGGCATCACTACAGACCCCCTGGTTCGATTCCAGGCTGTATCACTGGTAACCATGGTTACGAGGAGGGGATACTATAATGTTGTGGGGTCAGACCCAACAACATTACATTATAGTATCCCCTCCTCGTGGAGAAAAGCACCTGAGCTAATTATAACACACAAAGTAAGCAAAACAATTAAATGCATAATTCTAACGTTGCCTAAAATAATGAATAGCTTACTAATGACATAGACGTATACAAACGTACAAACTATGGCGTAAATAACGTTAAGTGGTTAAGAGACAAACCGTCATTTGGATTAAGACATGAGCGAGCTGAGACGGATGTAGCGAGCTGAGACGGATGTAGCGAGCTGAGACGGATGTAGCGAGCTGAGACGGATGTAGCGAGCTGAGACGGATGTAGCGAGCTGAGACGGATGTAGCGAGCTGAGACGGATGCAGCGAGCTGAGACGGATGTAGCGAGCTGAGACGGATGTAGCGAGCTGAGACGGATGTAGCCTATACGCCGCCTATTTGTTCAGCACTTTTGAAATGGACAGCGACATAATTCAGAACGTGGGCCGTTCTTACAGTATTCTGCCAGTACACCAAGTCTGAACCATTAGATAAATAACGTGGGCACATGAGCAGACAATGAAAGATCTTGTAATATTCGATGATGACATTTCTCTAAAGCAGGCTATAGGCTACATGTGCACCACTAAGTCAGAACAGTTGTACAAACAGGCCCTGCAGTGCTGTCTCACAATTGCCACACAATTTAATGCATGCTATAATTCTGGCAAGCATGTACCTATTCTCCTCCGTCTGTTGGTTGTGAAGGTCGATGGCTCGTCTATATGTGGTGTCTAGCTGAGCCAAAATGTTTGATTTCCCCAGTAATCCCAGTTTAACAGCATTGTCTATATGTGATGCACAATTCACATGTTTTGAGACCCTTTCAGACATGTTTTAAATCCTTAAACCCAGACTTGGACCACACACCCTCTCCACCGTATAGCAGGCAGGGGAAGCAAAATAGTGATTGTTTTGAGATGCTTGCAGTTAGCCACTGCTTCCTTCCAAACCACTCTTTGTTGAATTTGCGATTTCCAACTTTCTGTGTAATGTTTATGTCCATGGCCGATGAGCACCGAGACGTTTTATCTCTAATTTCTCTTCATATGACAAGGATTGAAAAGGATTTACCAGTAGATTGTCAACGTGATTCATGATGATGACTGCTTGTCTAGCTTGCTAGCTAAGAAGTATGATGTTGACATGATCAGTCCAATCAAAGCTACGGTAGATAACACGTGATTTGATGTCATTTTATCTGTGGCCAATGACCTTGAGCCTTCTTGGATGGGCACTGCTACTGTATGCATATTAATGCCAAAATAACATGCAATATATATATATATATATATATATATATATATATATATATATATTATTTTCTTTTAGTTTTTTTAGCTAAACAGGTGGGGCTCAAAACCCCTGGTCGGTTCAAACTTTGATTGGGAACAGATGACGTCATATAAAAACAAAAACTGTTGCGCCCCCTCACCTAAAAATCAGCACTACACCACTGACTATAGCCTGTTTAAATTGTGACTGCTGAGCCAATCACGTTCAAAAGTCAGAAATAAGTTGTACAGTATTTAAAGTGGGACTGCTGTCGCAAGTCCATAAAAAAATAAGCCTACCTTCTTACCATAATATACCAGGTATTTCCAAGTCAATATAACTAAACCTACTATCAGTTGATCATGAAACATTAGATTTGTTCAACTGTGTGGCTATGTTATTGTTGGACATGTACCGAAAGCGCAACAATAGGACTCGAACGATTATCACCTTAGCAACAGTAAGTAGTCAGATACAGCATTCCAAATCATTCATTATTTTCCAATTCTAAACTATTTGCAATATGCAAAAATGATTCGGCGCGTTTCTATGAGCAATCCAATGGCATATTTTAACACCTCAACGAAGTGGATTCCACTTAAGGTACCGAGACCCAAAAGTGCGATGATTTACCGCGACAGCGACTCGAAGAGTGTACCGAGACCAGGGGCGGTGTGTTCATTAGGGCGATATGGGCGACGCACTGCCAAACGGGAAAAGGAAGGGATTTTTTTCTAATCAATTATATCACGGCAACAGTAGTTATCAGTGTTCTAATCTAGACGTCTGATCTGCCACTAAATGTCCAATCAGGCTAAAGTCGTGCTTCAAATGCCCCCCCCCCCCCCCTTTTGGGGCGATTTCAGTCAGGTTGAAAATCGCCCCAGAAGTCTCTCATAGACTCTCATGTAAAAAAAATGTTTTTCAAATATCAGAGCTTTCAATACAATCTCTATGGGTTTCTGAGGGCTTGCACTTACGCGCTTTCGTCATACGTAACATAACCATGAACGTAACTAAGAAAAGAGCGGGTAGCAGCGTCAATCAATTCACGTACTACTATCAAGATGGCTAACGTTCAGTGCAACTCGATTGTCTCTTTGAAAGAAGTTCACATCAAAGACCATTCAAAACGAGCTACTGGAGTGTATGCTAGCGGTCATGAGGGAACATATTGTGGAGGAGGTGAAGTCGGCGAACTTCGTAGCTATCCAAGCTGACGAGACCACGGACGTTTCTACACAGACACAGCTGGTGCTTGTGCTGAGGTACATAGATAGCAACCACAAAGTGCAGGAGCGCTTTTTTGAGTTCCTTCCCATCTCGGAATCAACCTCAGTCTCAATCGCCAGTGTGCTTTTGGAGAGACTGAACGGTATTTTTGCCGATGACGAGAAAGTCAAACTGTGGTGCACTGGCACTGTACCAGGTTCTCATGAGCTACAACCTCCAGGAGACGTTATCGGAGACTGTGACTCGGTTGAACATCCTCATAACTACTCCAATGACAACAGCTGAAGCTGAGAGATGTTTCTCAACTTTGACACGAGTTAAGACATTCCTGCGAAATTCAATGGGCCAGGAACGTCTGAATGCACTGGCCATGCTTTCCATGGAGAGGGAACTAGTCCTCAGCATGCCTGATTTCAATGAGAAAGTCATTGACCGCTTTGCTGCATTGAAAGAGAGAAGAGAACAGTTTCAGTACAAGTAATGTAGCCTCTCTCTCTCTTTGTCCCTCCCTGTCTGTCTCTTTAACACACACACGCCCAAATCAGTTCACAGTTGATGTTGTTTAAAATAGTTATTTTTCATTTTAAAAAATAAATAATAATCTGTTCATGTTCATTTTTACAAATCTATACAATTGGCCAGAATATGGTTGTTCATATTTACAAATCTATACAATTGGCCAGAATATGGTTGTTCATTTTTACAAAGCCATACAGATAGCTGTGTTTACCTTTTCTAGAAATTATTTTCAAATTCTGTTTTCAGGCAAAATGTCTATCACTGTTCATTTTCACAAATATATACAAGAGGGCAGAATATGGAAGTCTATAAAAATTTCTTATTACCAATAACTTGCATCAATGTTTTCAGTAGCCTCTATCAAAAGCTCCTGCTTGCTTGTTGTGAATTATGCTCAGGTGCACATATTTCCAATTCAACCATGAGGCAAAAAATGTGGTAAAAGCTCTTGTTGATCCTGCAATTTGAACAAATACCAAGATGCTGTATTTTCAGCTGATATTTCATTTGTTTATGGAAATGCATATTGTTTATGCAGTGTTGAGGAATGTGAAAGAACACCCTTGATTATTTTTACTGTGATAACTTATTTTGCTTTTGTAAGCCAACACTTTTGAGATCAGTCAATAAATGCTTCTGGCATTGACTTATATGCTGCCCCTGTCTTCATGTTGTTGCTGGACATATCTTTTTGAAAATGTGTGTAGGTCACCTAAATCATCAGAAAAATTGCCCCCCCTGAGAATTTTTTCAGGAGCCGCCACTGACCGAGACCCAAAAGTGCAATTTACCGTGACCTGTCGGAGAAAGTCAAGTTCAGTCTTGGTGCTAGACTGCGTGAAACGGGAGAGATGTTCGTTGTGCCCGACTGCCAGCACAATATGAGAATCAGAGAGCTAAAAAAACGCCATGGAATTAGTGGTTGTGATTCCCACAGACTTCCAGAGAGTATGCTACCTGGATAAAGGTAAAATAAATATGTTTGATCTCATTTGCTGGTTTAACTGTTGACATATTTTAATAAGAAATGGGAAGTCGTTGTTAATTAATTTCTTAGATGTATTCATTTATTTTTAATGGGTTTAATGAAGTTAGAATCACAGCCCTTATAAATCTCAAAAGTAGGCTAGTAGTGACAGGCCCATCATGGTGAACATTTGATTATAGGGTGTTTTCCAGTTTGCCTAATCATCTAATGATGTGCTTGTCTGACCAGACCCAATGTATACTCCACCCAACAGGTGACCTTTATGATGACACCACTATTCACTGTAATGACATCGTCCCTGGAACTACTGTCACCCTGATGATCTGGCCTTACGATGGATGGGCTGAGCTTGTGATAGCTGCAGCTACTGGGGATGTACTCAAGGTGATGTGGCATAAAAGAAAAACCTAGAATAGTGTCAAAGTTGCGTCAATTCAAATCTGGCATTAGGAACAAAAGAGGTCAACACGACTTCTAAGATATACCAGTTATTTTAATTAATGCAAAAACCTTCAATGGTAAATATGATGTTTCGTATATACGGGCTCTTTGAAATACCTCGCAGGGCACTTCAGAGAACTAATCCATTGTTCTAGGTTCTTGCTCAAATACTCTGACAGAGAGAATTTCCCACCTCTCTGCTGACCAATTAGAGTAGAGACTTGAGCGTGGTTTAGACTTACTCAGCCTATCCGTTGGCGCACAGGCTAGTCCCCCTCCTCTTAGCGCATCCCTGTTTCCAGGCATACGTTCATCATAACAACCTGTCATAGTGAGAAGAGCCAGCTCCCTTAGACACCATTCCTACGTCCAAGGAAGGTTCACAGATCACAAAGAACCAGTATATTCCAGTATCTGGAGACACAAATCCCTATCTAATTTTACCCCCTAAAACAGCTCTTTACATCAATCACAGCTTGCCAGGTGTCACAACCTACATTAGCACAGTCCAGAATGCATTCTTTCTAAGTTAGTCATCCCATCAATTATGATAATAATAAATCCCCAATAATCCCCCTTTTCACACCTACTAGGGTGTGATTCAAAAAATAAGAAAACACAGGGTGTGATTCATTATAATACAATACAATCAAAAAGAATCACACTTTTATTAATAGGCCATAATTATCCTAAAAAATAAAAACCCTCAGTCCATCTACACCCAACTTGCAAATTGTTACCAGTCATCAAAGAACATCAAACCATAAAACACAGGATTAATAGAACACAAAACATAAGACTATTAAAACATAAAACACAAACAGAGAAGTACATTTTGACTCCCTTTTGACACCCTCTAAGGTGTGATTCCAAAAATGTGAAAGGGAAAATTTAAGATTCCCTCTGTTGACACCATTTATAGTGTCACTCCAAATAACAGTTTGAACAGAATATAAACAACCCTGAGTATAACAGGATATGGAAATTAAATCACATCAAAAAATGTTAATAAACGGAAAAATAATAATTTTAACCCTCTATTTCTCCCCTACACCTAACATGTACTGAGTTGGCTACCAGCCACCCAGGAATCCTTTACCTTCACCTCAGGAGGAATAAACAATCACAGTGGTTAGTAAAAACATAAGGTAATAAATGAGCAAAAACTGAAAATAAATGCGTGTATATATTTTACTACGCAAACCATGGATCATCCAACTTGGTCTCAGAGTCAGTGGCAGAGTCACCCGCAACATCCTGGGCCGGCAACAACGGCATCACTCCTGACACCCGCACCACTCCTACCACTGACTTCCTGAGACAGGGAATGATACAAGCAGCACAACACATCAACAATAAAAACACAATTACTAGGGTCAGAAATCCAGTAACCACCATAGAAGAATACTTACCGAACCAGTCACTTAACCAGGAGAACAGCCCACCACTCCCCACTCCATCCATGCTCTTCATTTCTGCTGACAACTTATCCAGGCCAACTAGGGCCTTTGTGATGCTCCCGTCCGGGCTAGTATTGTTAGGAATAAACGTACAGCATTGTTCCCCAAACATCTTACACACACCCCCTTGGTTAGCAAGCAACATGTCAAGTGCTAGTCTATTTTTCCTAGCCACCCTAGAGGTGGCCTCTAGTTGTTCCGACATTCCAGTCAGGGCAGTGCGTGTGTAGTTAACAAATCGCTGTTGGTTATAATAGATGTAATTTATCCAAGATCGCTGTTTAGCAGCATCTATGGCAGGTCCTATGATTGGCAACAAATGTCACAACCCATCATTCCTGTTGAGTGCCTGGAACTGTAATGGTACTCCCACAGGCACCCCCAACAGGTTAGAGTGGATCTCCTCTCCTGCTGACCATGGGGCACTACGTTTCCCCCGCCTCATTCTCTCTCTGTCTGGGGCTAGCTGGGCGATGCCCAAAAGTTGGTCTGAGGAAACATCAATAATGGTCAGAGGTACAATCAAACTGGCTAATGCACAAGTGCCCTGCCAGTCCCCCTTTAGAATCGGGGTTAGTTTTCTATTTGGTCCACAGATCCACCACACATCAGCCACCCCTTTTGTCTGGGTTTTACCCTCTACTGGCCAAGTGCTGTTCATAGTTACATTCACAGCACAGTCCCCTGGTGGTAGCCTACCATAGTTAACACCCTTACCTGTTCCAGCAATGCAACTGTAATTACCTCCATAAGCCTGAACTCCTTCAGATGCCTTTTGTGGGGGAACCTCAGGGAAAATCAAACTTAGGGCTTTGCACAGGGTGGTGTTTGGCAGTGAATGGTAGAACTCTTCCAATATGCACTGCCATCCTTCCCCTTCTCCTAAAGTGAATGGGTGGGTTGCCAACCCAGGTCTTGCATGCCCACAGATAACACAATTCTGCCTGACCAGTGTCCTAGCCGTATACCTCATGTATGCCAACCACATATTTTCTTTCCCTTCATAACCAGTTTCTGTCCCCAATTGGTCGCTGTCCATTATATCCCTAACATTAATCACCCGAACGGGGTTTGGTACCTTAGTGGATTGAAGCTGAGCTGGTCCTGGAGTGGTGATGTGGTTTAACTGGGTCTGTCTCTCCCCAGCTGCAGGTTTGGGTGTGACCACGATGGTGAACACACCCATGGTGTCTGGTCCGGATCGTACTGCTGCTAAGGTGTACACACCTGCATCTGTAAGTTTAATGTCTTGGATGGTTAGTAGGATTTCATCGCCTTTACATGCACCCCCTTTTGACCCCTGCACACCCCTTATCATTGAAAACCTAGCTGCTTTAGAAGCATCTCCTATTACATATGGATAGCCTCAACGCCATTCCCAGAAGGTGCCAACATTTGTAATCATAAAATCCCAATATGGACACCACTTTCCCTCACACAGATAAGTACCTCTCTTTAACACATGGGGATACATTTTGTTACAGTTTTCCTTCTGGTTCCAATTGCAACCAGTGTCCCCAATTCCACTAGCCCTATTCCTCCATGACCAGATCTTACATGGTTCTAGGGACATCACTTGAGATTCCCCTTCCTGTAAGGTAATGACTATATTATGATACTGACTGGATGTCACTGTTCCCCATAGGGCCAGCCCCGCTAGTAACCATAACATCTTCCCCGTCTGCAGCCAAGTCCTGTTGTACTTGATCTAGAGTTCTTCCTGGAAATATATCTTTGGCACAATGTGTTCTGTGGTACCACATGTCCTTCTTACTCGTGTTTACCCTCAGCAAGTGACTTGATACCTCTTTCACCTGAAAAGGCCCTTCCCACCTTGGCTCCGTCCACTTCCTGGAATGCACCTTCACTCTCACCCAATCTCCCACCAGGATGTCTCTGTTCTCGTCCGTGGTTTCAACAGCAGGAGTGCGCACTTCCACCACCTGTTTAGACAATCTTTCAACAAGAGAAATTAGTGCCTGCATGTAGTCTGTATATCTGATTTTTGCAATATCTAGCCTAGGCATACTAAGATTGTCTGTTGGTGGCCCTGGCATTCTGCGTCCTGTCATAAGCTCATGTGGAGTCAAGTGGGTATCAGACCCAGGTGAATTTCTCATTGACATTAGAGCAAGGGGTAGGGCATCTACCCATTTCAGTATAGTTCCGGCCATGATTTTGGCCATTTTTCGTTTCAGCGATTGGTTAGCTCTTTCTACGAGTCCCTGCGATTGGGGGTGGTATACTGACCCAAACTTGTGGGTGATTCCTAGGGCCTGCTCTACCTCCCTTAGGTGTTTATTCTTGAAATGGGTACCGTTGTCAGAACGGACCATTCGCGGGACCCCGAACCTTGGAATGAGGTCTCGCCTCAGCCACTTAATCACGGCCTTTGCGTCTTTTCTTGCTGTGGGGATGGCTTCCACCCATCTGGTGAATCTGTCCACCATTACTAACAGGTACCTTTTTCCTTCCACTTTGTTGTCCTGTCCCATGTCCGTGAAATCTATGCAAATGTCTTGAAATGGTGCATCAGGTATTGGGAAGCTGCCTATCACTGCTCCAAGTGACACTTTGTTGTTGTATTGTTTGCACACTTCACAGCTCTCTGATGTCTCTCTTGCCATGTCCAACATGTGTGGATGCCACCATGCTTTCTCAACTGATTTTACGACACTTTTCCATCCTCCATGAGCCTTCTCATGCTCTTCCCTTAAGATTGATCTGAGGAGTTTTGCAGGTCCCACTGTTTTTCCTGTGTGAGATCTCCAAATCCCATGATGGTCTTGCCTTGCTCCCTGTCTGCTCCATACGTTCTGTTCGTAGGCCCCTGCTGCTTCTTGCAACTGTCTTACTGTGTCTGTCGTCAACTCCTCCTGTCCTTGAGTGGCTCGTTTTGCACCATCTTCTGGGCATTGTATCCTCCTGCATCTTTTGCTACTTGATCAGCCCGATCATTTCCTTCACGCACTCTGGTGCTTTCTCTGCTGTGACCTTTGCACTTCATTATTGCCACTCGTTTGGGAAGCTGGGTTGCATCAATTAACTTCTGTACTTCAATCTTGTGTTTGATGGGCTCATTTGAGCTGGTCACAAATCCTCTCCTCATCCACTGTGGTCCATCAATGTGTGCAATCCCATGTGCATAGGCAGAGTCTGTGTAGATGTCCACATTCTTTCCTTCACTTAGTTGTAGAGCTCTCCTCAACGCCCTAAGTTCAGCTAGCTGTGCTGAAGCTTCATTGGGACCAAGTTTCTCTGCTTTCATTACTTCATGTCCTCCTTCTGTGTCTTGTTTCACCACTGCATAGGCAGCAGTGTTTCCTTCCTTTGGGTCCTTTGACCTGTAGCAGCATCCATCAGTGAACAGGGTGATTTTGTTCCCCTCCAAGGGTGAGTTTTGCAGGTCCATTCGGACTTTGATCTGTTTGGCTGCTCTATCCTCACAGACATGTGGTTCTCCAAGACCCATACCATCGGTCATATTGGTTGCTGTTGTCACATATGTAATGTGCTTTGCAGTGATGGCCTTTGTTATGCTGGATTTTCTTTTACTGGACAGTGTGAAAAGTTTGGAGCCTATAAAAGCGGTCACCCCATGATCTGTATTGATTTCAAGTGGATGTCTCATCACAATGTGGGCTGTTTTACCTATAGCTTTTGCAATGGCAGCCATGTGTCTGGCACAGTCAGTCTGTCCTGTTTCAATGTTGTCCAGTTTCGCGCTATAGTAGTGTAACACTCTTCTTTCCCCCTTTTGTTTCTGATACAGGATGGAATGTACATAACCATCCTGCTCAGAAACATCCAAACAGAATGGCGTGGTGTAATCGGGTAAGGACAGTGCTTCAGCCTGTGCCAGCGTCTGTTTGAGTTGGATTAAAGCTGCCTCTGCTTCCGGAGTCCACTTAAGGACTGCTGTGAGGTTTCTGTTTCCTGCTTCTCTCAAGATTGCCTGCAGTGGTTCCACTTTAAGGCAGTATTCTGGCACGTGCATTCTGCTATATCCAGTAAGTCCAAGAAATGACAAAAGGTGTTGTACAGTAGTAGGTTTGGGATGTTCCAAGATGGAGGTCCTCTGAGCCACAGACACAGCTTGTCCCTTCCCTGACAGCACTCTTCCCAGGAACTGGACACTTCTCCGACAGCACTGCACTTTCTCTTTCTTTACCTTGTATCCCTTTTTGGCCACCAACAGGAGAAGGGACTTGGTGGCCTGCAAACAAGACTCAGCTGTGGGTGCTGCCAACAGAAGATCATCAACGTATTGGAGTAGTGTCACCCCCTCAGGTAATGTTAGTTCTTCCAAGTGGCTCTTCAGGATAGCGTTGAAGATTCCCGGGGAATCGCGGTAGCCTTGTGGAAGTCGGGAATACGTAAATTGCTGCCCTCTATAGGTAAATGCAAAAAGTGGCTGGGACTCTGGATGTAATGGGATGCAGAAAAATGCATTGGCGAGATCCACTACTGTAAACCAATCTTGGGTGGGTGAAATGTTCTGTAAGGCCAGATATGGGTCTGGTACAGGTCGAACATCTGGTACAGTTACTTCGTTGATTGGTCTGAAGTCCTGCACCATCCTCCATTTCCCAGTGTCACCTTTCTTTACTGGAAGGATGGGTGTATTCCACACAGAACAGGTTGGATATATAACCTGTCCTTTTTGGAGTCAATTCCCCTCGTCTTCTCTTCACTGAGAGGGTATTGAGATTTGTGAACTGGGATAGTGAGTTCACTTTCTTCTCGAATGGAGACAACCACTGGTTCTACATCAACCAGCCCCACATCTTCAGCACTTGTTGTCCACAGTTCCTCTGGTAGTTGTTTGAAAATGTTATGAGTATCCGGATGATCAGTCATCTCCCTGCCATGGTAACGTGATCTCCTCACAACCTCTGGTTTTGACACATCATCCACATTGAGTTTAATTCTCCATACTTGATTTCCCTCAAGGAATGCACTTTCCACGTTGTAACAAGAGGTTTTGTTCCACCGTAGGCAACTTGCTGCCTTTACCGCTGGTCCCAGAGATCTTGCCTCATATCCAAATCCCACGAGAAGGGTAACATGCGGCACAGAATCACTAGGAAGAGCAAACCATTTGTCTGTGAGTACCACGTCTCCATCCATGACCATGCAGCTGGTAGCCACTCCTTCTTTGAGTATGTACATATAATTGCTGGTCACAATCGGGCGCCTATCGTCCATTTCCTCCTCCCAGGCTTCATCATATGCTTCATCCAAGTCCCTGGTATAGTTCATTGTCATGTGCGGAGGGTCCTCAGGTGGATAGTATGCATTTAAGGTCTGTATCCAGGCCTTCCATAGTTGGAACTCTCTGCATACTCGGGGAGCATCAGGGTCAGTATCCATGAGCTTCAGCCAGTAAACATATGCTTCCTCCTCATCTTCCTCGTTTAGGTGTGTTCCCACATATAGCATGTGAGGGGGGTCAGAGAGTTTTTTCATGATTACTGGCATGAGATCATCTATGGGCGTGATGGATGCATGTAGACCCTCCTGGTTACAATATATACTACATCCCAGTTTGGAAAGCAGGTCCCTCCCCATGAGCCCCATTGAGCATTCCGGGTTGTATAGAAACTGATGGGTAACCTGTTGGTCATCCCATACAACCTCCAATGGAACTGTGTATGGCTTTCTCATAATAGCCCCAGAAACCCCAGAGAAAGCTTGTGTTTTGGTAGTGAGTTGATATGTTGCTTGTACAGAAGACCATGTACATGTACCTCCAATCAAACATGTCACTACCGGCTCTGAACCTGGTGGGAAAGTGTAAATGTTGGTGGTGGGATCCTTATGGGTTTCTGGGCAGCTTCATTGGTAATTGTGTTCGTCACCCAGCCATGACATGCTGGGCAGGAAGGCAGCGTTAGGCACTGCTGGGTCTTGTTTTCGGTTCTGCTGTTGTGGTGGTTGGTGCTGCTGGACTGGCATTCCTCCTCCTTGCCAGTTTCCCCATCCTTGCTGGTATCTCGGTGCTTGTCTTCTGGACTGTCCCATGTAACCCCTCCCTCTTTGTTGTCCCTGTCTTGGGAGCTGACAATATCTTGCCTGGTGGCCATGCATCCCACAGTTAAAACACCCTTGGTCAGCGTATCTAGGGGTGTATCCCTGTTGTCGTGGTGGTACATAGGGTTGCTGGTATGCGAGTGCACCATATCCAGGAGGACCAGAAGGTGCCATCATTCCCGTCATTGCCTGTATTACAGCAGTAACTGCAGCAGCAGTATCATTTCCTGGTGCAGGAGTGGTAGGATTAGATGTTGGGGTACTGGTTACCACCATTTGTTTTCCTGGCTTGTCCTCTGTCAGTTGCTTCTTCAGAACCTTTTTCTGAAGTTGTTTGAGTTCATCCTCTTCCTTTCGCTTACCCTCTCTCCATCGTTCCACATGGTGTTGTGCTATCTCGGTAAATTCCGGAATTGATTTTGTGGTGATTGCCACAACTTTTTCACATTCAGCTCGAGCCTGATCCGGGAGTCCCCCCAGGCAGTTTGTCAGGAAGAGGTGTTTCATGGTGTCTTTTCCTGGTTCTTCATTCCACGCTTGCCTCCAGAGGCACTTAGCCCTCTTCATGTATGCTGGTATTGTTTCATCGTCATTCAATGTCAGAGTTCTCATCAGTTCGGGTCTGGCCTGGGTAGGATACTTCCTCCTTATGACATCCCATACGTCACTGCGGTGGGGGTCAAATCTTGTAGCCGACCCCACTTGCCCTCTCAGTCCCCCAGAGGTCATTATCTCTCTGCATTCCTGGTCTCCCATACACCTGTTCATTACAGTAACCATATCACCTATGGTGAGTTCATCCGCTGCTGTGAGACTCTCAAAAGACTTCACCCATCTGTGTCCAGATTCTTCAGGTTGGGGGGGACTTCAGTATTTTCTCAGAACCTAGCCATATCTCTCTGGATATGTGTCAAAGAAACAATACTCAATGGTACCAAGGTTTTAACATCACATTCACCACAGGTTTACATGTCACAATATTGTGCTTATCTACTCATAATAGTTTCATAATTTAGTTCACTTACATCAGACAGTTGTTTCACAAAATTAATTTGAATAAAGCCAATTTGCAGATCTTTAGTTATTTAACAATAGGTATCTGCTTACCTTCTTTAAGTTGTCCGGACTTTTTGTGAAACACAGTCCAATGAAAGATATGACCAATGGGCCGGACAGTACCCAGCGAAGTCCCTTCTACCAGATCACGTCGGGGTCGCCAATTGTCAAAGTTGCGTCAATTCAAATCTGGCATTAGGAACAAAAGAGGTCAACACGACTTCTAAGATATACTAGTTATTTTAATTAATGCAAAAACCTTCAATGGTAAATATGATGTTTCGTATATACGGGCTCTTTGAAATACCTCGCAGGGCACTTCAGAGAACTAATCCATTGTTCTAGGTTCTTGCTCAAATACTCTGACAGAGAGAATTTCCCACCTCTCTGCTGACCAATTAGAGTAGAGACTTGAGCGTGGTTTAGACTTACTCAGCCTATCCGTTGGCGCACAGGCTAGTCCCCCTCCTCTTAGCGCATCCCTGTTTCCAGGCATACGTTCATCATAACAACCTGTCATAGTGAGAAGAGCCAGCTCCCTTAGACACCATTCCTACGTCCAAGGAAGGTTCACAGATCACAAAGAACCAGTATATTCCAGTATCTGGAGACACAAATCCCTATCTCATTTTACCCCCTAAAACAGCTCTTTACATCAATCACAGCTTGCCAGGTGTCACAACCTACATTAGCACAGTCCAGAATGCATTCTTTCTAAGTTAGTCATCCCATCAATTATGAAAATAATAAATCCCCAATAATAGTCTACAGCAGTCATACACAGAGACTCTCTATGGCTCAGGTCAATATTGATCATAATAAAAAAAGAACCATCATCAACAAAAATAGGAAGGATTACTTTTATGCTATTCCAGGTATTCCTTAAAGAGGTAGGGTTTCAAGTGTCTCCGGAAGGTGGTCAGTGACTCAGCTGTCCTGGCGTCGTGGGGGAGCTTGTTCCACCATTGGGGTGCCAGAGCAGCGAATAGCTTTGAATGGGCTGAGCGGGAACTGTGCTTCCGTAGAGGTAGGGGAGCTAGCAGGCCAGAGGTGGATGAACATAGTGCCCTCGTTTGGGTATAGGGTCTGATCAGAGCCTGAAGGTAAGGAGGTGCCGTTCCCCTCACAGCTCCGTAGGGAAGCACCATGGTCTTGTAGTAACAACATCTCACAGCTGTTATTACAACATGTAGACCTTATTAACTTCACTCTTCCCTTTTTTTAGGATGAACATTTCTACTTCTCACACATAAAAATGACTATTTTCCTCTTTATTTCACGTAGCTCAAGAGTGTGATGTCCAAACCAGCACCGCCACGTTCCTCCCATCCCAGTGCTATGGGTTCTATGGGTGGAGCTCCCTCCTGGCTCTCTCACCGTCTCTTCTCTGCTCTGTTCATCAGTGCCCACCGTGGACACATGCCCGCTGTCCGCTCCCTGCTCCAACAAGGTACCCACCACCGCAGAGGCAAAACATCTGGATATCACCGGCGCACTGGAAAAACCTTGTATCTCACTTTGGGTGATTTTGATCAATTATTCTACATCAATTGAATGTAGACATCCCCCTCAGAGGTGTCATGCCCATAGCGGGCACATGTCAGGTGCACCCCTCAGATTTGTCATGTTGAAGACATTTGCAAAAAACATGTAATAATCTCTGTAATACAATTAGCCACTTAGCAATTTTATGAAGTTGGCTTTAGCTAGCCCAGATAGGTTCCCGATCTCCCAGCTACCAAGAAGCCATTTCAGGCTATCAATCAAGTAAGAGTAATTAGCTTGTCTAACTAGCTTAGCTGGCATGCCTGCTGGCAAGGTTGGTAGACTTTAGAAAAGCAAGCAGTAACTAAATGTACTGAATATTTTACCTAGATTTGAGGAAGAGATTTAGAGAAGCATATTCATTTAGTTCATTTAATAAAAGAACCACCAGTGAGGAGGATACAGACAGCTCAAGAGTTATGCTTAGAGATGCAGAATTATTAATTTTTTTATTCTTTTTTTTTTTTTTTACATATAATTAAGTATAGTGATAATGGCTCTAGATTGCAGGAAAAAGCTGTTTCATGTGTTTGAAAAATGCTAAACTCTTCAATTTATGGACAGAGGACCTGGCAGCTCTTCCTCTTCCACTGGCAGGAGCGGGCGCAGGGCGTGCGTCTCATGCCTCACCTGGACGAGACAGAGCTGTTCGCCCACTAGAAACATGACTCCCAGCTACGTACCTGCCACCGGGGTGCCCACGCCCAGAGATACATGGCCCACCTGGGGCGCTGTAGCCGTGTGGTGGAGGGCAGGGTGGAAGTGAGGCAGCTGGGGCCACTGCAGAACACGCCATGAGGGCCCAGGCAAGGAGGGCGTGGATGGGGGACGTGTGACCAGAGCTGCAGTTCAAGAACAGGGCGGGTGGCCAAGAGCCTGGTCCTGGAGAGCCGTGTACGCAGGATTTTATTCCAGCCCAGCACTAACAGTTCCTAACTACTCTAGATTGAATCGCATGAGCAGTCGGATCATTTGAATCAGATGTGTTAGTGTTGGGTTGGAACAAAAACCTGCTAACAGACAATGTTTCCCCCTTCATAATTTAGTCAGAAGTCAGAAGTTCGCCTACCTCTCCCACATCTGACGTTGAGTAAGCGCTCTCGCAATGGCTCTGAGCAGTAAGACTTCCTTCATGAAATGAGCAAGAGGCAGACAAGTAGATGAACTGACAATTATAATCAAGATGAACCAGTGAAAATAAAGGTGCAGCAAAAGGGTGCAATTGCATTAGTCAGATGGTGAAATAAGACGTCTGGAGAAACCTGGACAACAGAATGTGACACTGCTTATAGGTGAATAAAATAAACCAGAGAGATACATGAGAACAATATGATAAAAAAATACTAATACTGTATGATAAAAGCCAATTCAAAAGGTAGTGGTAAAAGGGGAAGAAAGTACCTTTTGAAGCTTAAATGATTGTAGTCATGTGAACTGTTCTATCAAACAAATGCATTGCCGTTGCACCATGGCAGCATATACAGGGGAGTGATAGTAGTATTCATCTTTGATGTATCATTTGCCCTGCATAGAAATATAGATTTATAGATTTCAATGGTGTCTATTTTGATAGTCACAATACTCTTGTATACAGTGGGGGGAAAAGTATTTAGTCAGCCACCAATTGTGCAAGTTCTCCCACTTAAAAAGATGAGAGAGGCCTGTAATTTTCATCATAGGTACACGTCAACTATGACAGACAAAATGAGAAAATAAAATCCAGAAAATCACATTGTAGGATTTTTTATGATTTTATTTGCAAATTATGGTGGAAAATAAGTATTTGGTCAACAACAAAAGTTTCTCAATACTTTGTTATATACCCTTTGTTGGCAATGACACAGGTCAAACGTTTTCTGTAAGTCTTCACAAGGTTTTCACACACTGTTGCTGGTATTTTGGCCCATTCCTCCATGCAGATCTCCTCTAGAGTAGTGATGTTTTGGGGCTGTCGCTGGGCAACACAGACTTTCAACTCCCTCCAAAGATTTTCTATGGGGTTGAGATCTGGAGACTGGCTAGGCCACTCCAGGACCTTGAAATGCTTCTTACGAAGCCACTCCTTCGTTGCCCGGGCGGTGTGTTTGGGATCATTGAAAGACCCAGCGACGTTTCATCTTCAATGCCCTTGCTGATGGAAGGAGGTTTTCACTCAAAATCTCAAGATACATGGCCCCATTCATTCTTTCCTTTACACGGATCAGTCGTCCTGGTCCCTTTGCAGAAAAACAGCCCCAAAGCATGATGTTTCCACCCCCATGTTTCACAGTAGGTATGGTGTTCTTTGGATGCAACTCATCATTCTTTGTCCTCCAAACACGACGAGTTGAGTTTTTACCAAAAAGTTATATTTTGGTTTCATCTGACCATATGACAATCTCCCAATCCTCTTCTGGATCATCCAAATGCACTCTAGCAAACTTCAGACGGGCCTGGACATGTACTGGCTTAAGCAGGGGGACACGTCTGGCACTGCAGGATTTGAGTCCCTGGTGGCGTAGTGTGTTACTGATGGTAGGCTTTGTTACTTTGGTCCCAGCTCTCTGCAGGTCATTCACTAGGTCCCCCCGTGTGGTTCTGGGATTTTTGCTCACCGTTCTTGTGATCATTTTGACCCCACGGGGTGAGATCTTGCGTGGAGCCCCAGATCGAGGGAGATTATCAGTGGTCTTGTATGTCTTCCATTTCCTAATAATTGCTCCCACAGTTGATTTCATCAAACCAAGCTGCTTACCTATTGCAGATTCAGTCTTCCCAGCCTGGTGCAGGTCTACAATTTTGTTTCTGGTGTCCTTTGACAGCTCTTTGGTCTTGGCCATAGTGGAGTTTTTGAGTGTGACTGTTTGAGGTTGTGGACAGGTGTCTTTTATACTGATAACAAGTTCAAACAGGTGCCATTAATACAGGTAACGAGTGGAGGACAGAGGAGCCTCTTAAGGAAGAAGTTACAGGTCTGTGAGAGCCAGAAATCTTGCTTGTTTGTAGGTGACCAAATACTTATTTTCCACCATAATTTGCAAATAAATTCATAAAAAATCCTACAATGTGATTTTCTGGATTTTTTTTTCTCAATTTGTCTGTCATAGTTGACGTGTACCTATGATGAAAATTACAGGCCTCTCTCATCTTTTTAAGTGGGAGAACTTGCACAATTGGTGGCTGACTAAATACTTTTTTCCCCACTATATACAGGGCTGTCTGAAGTTTGCCAATGAACATCTGAATGATTCAGAGGAGAACTGGGTGAAAGTGTTGTGGTCAGATGAGACCAAAATCGAGCTCTTTGGCATCAACTCAACTCGCCGTGTTTGGAGGAGGAGGAATGCTGCCTATGACCCCAAGAACACCATCCCCACCATCAAACATGGAGGTGGAAACATTATGCTTTGGGGGTGTTTTTCTGCTAAGGGGACAGGACAATTTCAAATCAAATCAAATCAAATCAAATCAAATTGTATTGGTCACATGCGCCGAATACAACAGGTGCAGACATTACAGTGAAATGCTTACTTACAGCCCTTAACCAACAGTGCATTTATTTTAAACAAAAAAAGTAAGAATAAAACAACAACAAAAAAAGTGTTGAGAAAAAAAGAGCAGAAGTAAAATAAAGTGACAGTAGGGAGGCTATATATACAGTAAAATAAAGTGACAGTAGGGAGGCTATATATACAGGGGGGTACCGTTGCAGAGTCAATGTGCGGGGGCACCGGCTAGTTGAGGTAGTTGAGGTAATATGTACATGTGGGTAGAGTTAAAGTGACTATGCATAAATACTTAACAGAGTAGCAGCAGCGTAAAAAGGATGGGGTGGGGGGGCAGTGCAAATAGTCCGGGTAGCCATGATTAGCTGTTCAGGAGTCTTATGGCTTGGGGGTAGAAGCTGTTGAGAAGTCTTTTGGACCTAGACTTGGCACTCCGGTACCGCTTGCCGTGCGGTAGCAGAGAGAACAGTCTATGACTAGGGTGGCTGGAGTCTTTGACAATTTTGAGGGCCTTCCTCTGACACCGCCTGGTATAGAGGTCCTGGATGGCAGGGAGCTTTGCCCCAGTGATGTACTGGGCCGTACGCACTACCCTCTGTAGTGCCTTGCGGTCAGAGACCAAGCAGTTGCCATACCAGGTGGTGATGCAACCAGTCAGGATGCTCTCGATGGTGCAGCTGTAGAATTTTTTGAGGATCTGAGGACCCATGCCAAATCTTTTTAGTCTCCTGAGGGGGAATAGGCTTTGTCGTGCCCTCTTCACGACTGTCTTGGTGTGTTTGGACCATGATAGTTCGTTGGTGATGTGGACACCAAGGAACTTGAAGCTCTCAACCTGTTCCACTACAGCCCCGTCGATGAGAATGGGGGCGTGCTCAGTCCTCTTTTTTTTCCTGTAGTCCACAATCATCTCCTTTGTCTTGGTCACGTTGAGGGAGAGGTTGTTGTCCTGGCACCACACGGCCAGATCTCTGACCTCCTCCCTATAGGCTGTCTCATCGTTGTCGGTGATCAGGCCTACCACTGTTGTGTCGTCGGCAAACTTAATGATGGTGTTGGAGTCGTGCCTGGCCATGCAGTCATGGGTGAACAGAGAGTACAGGAGGGGACTGAGCACGCACCCCTGAGGGGCCCCCGTGTTGAGGATCAGTGTGGCAGATGTGTTGTTACCTACCCTTACCACCTGGGGGTGGCCCGTCAGGAAGTCCAGGATCCAGTTGCAGAGGGAGGTGTTTAGTCCCAGGATCCTTAGCTTAGTGATGAGCTTAGAGGGCACTATGGTGTTGAATGCTGAGCTGTAGTCAATGAATAGCATTCTCACGTAGGTGTTCCTCTTGTCCAGGTGGGAAAGGGCAGTGTGGAGTGCGATAGAGATTGCATCATCTGTGGATCTGTTGGGGCGGTATGCAAATTGGAGTGGGTCTAGGGTTTCTGGGATTATGCTGTTGATGTGAGCCATGACCAGTCTTTCAAAGCACTTCATGGCTACAGACGTCAGTGCTACGGGTCGGTAGTCATTTAGGCAGGTTATCTTAGAGTTCTTGGGCACGGGGACTATGGTGGTCTGCTTGAAACATGTTGGTATTACAGACTCAGTCAGGGACATGTTGAAAATGTCAGTGAAGACACTTGCCAGTTGGTCAGCACATGCTCGGAGTACACGTCCTGGTAATCCGTCTGGCCCTGCGGCCTTGTGAATGTTGACCTGCTTAAAAGTCTTACTCACATCGGCTACGGAGAGCGTGATCACATAGTCGTCCGGAACAGCTGGTGCTCTCATGCATGCTTCAGTGTTGCTTGCCTCGAAGCGAGCATAGAAGTGGTTTAGCTCGTCTGGTAGGCTTGTGTCACTGGGCAGCTCGCGGCTGTGCTTCCCTGTGTAGTCTGTAATAGTTTTCAAGCCCTGCCACATCCGCCGAGCGTCAGAGCCAGTGTAGTATGATTCAATCTTAGACCTGTATTGACTCTTTGCCTGTTTGATGGTTCGTCGGAGGTCATAGCGGGATTTCTTATAAGCGTCCGGGTTAGAGTCCCGTTCCTTGAAAGCGGCAGCTCTACCCTTTAGCTCAGTGCGGATGTTTCCTGTAATCCATGGCTTCTGGTTGGGGTATGTACGTACGGTCACTGTGGGGACGACATCATCGATGCACTTATTGATGAAGCCAGTGACTGATGTGGTGTACTCCTGCATCAAAGGGACGATGGATGGGGCCATGTACCTTCCAATCTTGGGTGAGAACCTCCTTCCCTCAGCCAGGGCATTGAAAATGGGTCGTGAATGGGTATTCCAGCATGACAATGACCCAAAACACACGGCCAAGGCAACAAAGGAGTGGCTCAAGAAGAAGCACATTAAGGTCCTGGAGTGGCCTAGCCAGTCTCCAGACCTTAATCCCA